AAGCACATGTTTATGATAGCATTTCTGCTGTGGGTTGAGGGTCTCGTCGATCTCTAACGATAGCATTGAACTAAAAGTCGTCTACTCCTCAGACACCTCGGCATTTTGAAATGCTCGTGGTGTAGTTGTCAACCCGTTTGTTTTGTTTGTCAGGGTTTCTTGTTCCGGCGGGAGTTCTCCTTCACGCTGCCTGGGGATATCTACTGCCGATATCTGTCATTCCATGGTCAACATGATTTCAGAAAGGCCTTACTAGATCGAGTGCCGGATAAAGTAGCCTCCACTCTCGGCGCATCTTTATCATCCGCATGCGTTCTTCGCGTGCTCTGGCATAGGGTTCACTCGTGAGATTAGTCTCGTGTCTATGAGGGTATTATCCTACGCTGCTATATCCTGGTATTTCCATCAGATTGACATTGGTGCGGTATTCAATATTCCGCCCACCCATTACCAGCAGTTTGGCCTCACTGGCGGCAGTGGTGAGTGCAGCGGTTGAACCCATCGCAGGGAGCGAGTCCTTATACAGGTGGAGGGTTCCAACCTCAGCAGAGGGAGTTGGTGTTTGATATTGATATGGATGATTACGATGAAGTTCGAAATTGTTGCAAAGGCTCTAGTGTAGGTGACACTTAGGGATATGGTCCTATTACCATATCACAACTGAAATGAGCATTCACACTGACCAGTTTGTGTCGCTGTGTAGATATGCAAGCTATGCTGGACATTCATTGCCTGCGCTGTGAGGATATTGAACAGAGCTCTTAGAGACGACTTTGGCTTCAAGCATATCCTGTTCGCATTTAGCGGCCGAAGAGGCGTTCATTGTTGGGTGTGTGATGAGGTGAACAGTGAAGGCTTCTACTGTAGTCGTCGGAAGATTCTCTTATCGCAGACAGCGAGGAAGCTCAGCAATGAGCAGAGGTCGGCAGTAGCGGAGTATCTCCAATTGTTGAACGGTGGAAGGTACGGGTTTCTCGAATTTTAAGGCGATGTTAGAGGTGGCTGAGCTCCCTCTGTTCTCACGATAGGAAGCGGTCCTTCGCCTCGTGATTGTTGTGGTCGTTAAACTAGATTTTGAGTGCACGCTGAAGGATTTGGCGCAGGTGTAAGCACATCCGATCCTCTGCTCAACAGCGGCATCCTCATGTGAGGAGAGGTATTGACATATGTCGGAAATATCTACTAATGCCCGAGGTAGTAGAAGTGGGGCAAGTTGGGTAGGCCCTATTGGAGCATGCTCAGTGCGGTCTGCTTGAGGGTCAAAGGCTCTTAGACGCCCCGATGGTCGAGGGCGGAGATAAGAATTTACTGCAGAAAGTGGTGAATACGGTGATACCAGCGACTGATCCGGTTGGCAGAGGGGAGGCTAAGAGCTTTCTGTCGTCTAAGAGGAGTAGTCGGGAGGTAGTGAGGGCTGATAAATAGGTACTTAGTACTACTTCAACACTGATGTTGATGT